TATTTCAGCATGAGTAGTGCTGTCATAATTGAACATAGAAACTGAGCATAAAACAGGTAGTTCAAGCAGTTAGACTGAAATGTAAGCATATATCTTTTGAAAGAGATAATAGCATTTTTGGTTTTCATTACCATTAACTGATGCTTCAATCAGATTTTGTGTTCTCATTGTAGTGAAATAACTGATGGCAAAAGATGCTCTAGATTTAAATGCACTATAATATACTCAAAGTTTATTTTTCCTTTAAGTTGTTTTAACCTACAGTGGAAAATTTTCTGAAGCCCTCAACAACTGTTTGCAAATTAGAATTAAATGTGCTTCCTGCTTCTAGTGGTGGTGCTGGGGCAGGTTACCTAACAGACCTGTCACTTTTCTTGTGCAGTTGTTTCTGTAGCATTATTTTCATTGGCAAATATACGACATGATAGAAAAGGAAATCATTAGGTGTTCTCAGTATTGCTGAGGCATGGAGCTAGAGCAGGTCAGTCACTGCATTTTGCAGATTGTGACATTTTAAATTACCTGTACACTACTGGAAGCAATCTGTGGACCTAATTAACATCTCACCTAATTAAAGTCAGGAACATATGTAGAGCATTCTAGATAGTTTTGCACTGCCTTTATTTATTAAATACCACATTATTCAGATTTGAGTCTCTAATTTCAGTGTTGAAAACTTCAGGTTTGTGTGCTGTTTTCTTAAGTGGGAGTAACTTTTTTTTTTTTCCTCCTTCAAGTAATCAATGCGCTGCTGAATGAGTTCATTTTAATGCACTCAATCATGCCTCTAATGTTTGTAGCTTACGGGCGCAAGCATCAGTAATGCAGGAATGTTATATGGCTTTAGTTTGGGCCATTTCATAAAATATTCATGGAATCAAAAATGTGCATCAAAATAGCGGCTGGGAGAATTACATTTATGTGCCTGCTTTTATGGCAGCTTCACATTTAAACCCATTTGTGTTAATATCTAGTCAATCTTTCTACTTAAAAAAAAAGGGCAAAATAGTAGTCTCCGTATTGGTTTTGGTTTGGTATCTATTTTGATATAGCAAATGTGTATTTTTGGATTGGGTTTTAAGGAGAATTAGATACAAACTTTTAGATGATCTAAAAACATTTCTCTTCCATATTTACAAAATTATATTGAATTGTTTTGCTTGAATGAATAGATTTAGTCTTTTACTTAGAAGCAACGCAGTGAAAACTGTAGCAAAAATCTTTGTCAGTCTTATACTCAAATATAATTGTTTTAAACTGATTTTCTACTCTCAAATTTCTATTGTGACAATGTTAGCCTCTTGTATTTAAGATTAAGCTATTGCTGATGGGATCTCCTTTGTTATGCCCTGAGTTATATTAAACTATAAAAAAAACCACAGAAGTGTAAAATTTTATAGTGGTAGTACATATGTTGTAAGAGTTACCATTCTGGTTTTTGATTCCTTTTATAAGAAGAGAGACATCAGAGATTCTCCAACTCCATTTGGTATCCACTGAGATAAATTCTGCATGGTGGTGTGAGAATAAATATGCAATTGCTATTAATGTTGCCAACTGAAAATAGCTTTACTGTTTTGTGTAACATTCTGCAGATAGATTTTTCAAACATGGGTTTCCTAGAAACACCTTGTTGATTTTATCTTTGAATTCCTAGACCTATAAAAATCTGCAAACCGTTTCAAGAGATTTTCTTACTCCATTATTTTTCCTCTCATTTTGCTTTTTTTGGTCTTTGAGGGGTTTTTTTTTTCTGTTCATAATAAAAGTAATTTAAAACTCTGACTTGGCATTGCAAGTGAGATAAAAATGCTCTTATCCTCAGAAATGTTCTGTAATTGGCTAATTGTTTTTTTCAAATGTTTTTCAAGATTTTCTGATGGTGTTCTATGTATGTCTGCAGCCAACACTTGCAGCAGTTCAATATTTAAAAATTAGAATGCACTGGCCTGATCAATTCTAGCTGAACTGACTCATGACAGGGACTAAACTCACCAGCCCCCTGAAAAGATGATTTTCCCACAACATTTGAGTTTCACAGAAACATTATAGAATAAATAAATAGGCTGATGTGTCATTTGCCAATGGCAGCAAGGGATTTCAGTTTATATTCATGGAAGAATAAATTCCAAAGTCTAAAACATTTTACCTTCCACAAATTTGAGAAGTTTCCAAATAGCTCATTTTATTTGAAAGAGTCTTCTGTAAGCAAATTCTCAGCCATGTAAGGGCTTTCATGTCAGGAATTCCACCTCTTCCTTGTCTAGGAAACTAGCAGGTATTTTGGCTTTCTGTACATCACTTTGTTTTTAGTATTTCTGTGAGCAGATTCTTTTACCTTTTGCTGCATAACCTTTCTTGGTAATTCAGTGAAGCCAAATGTAATATAGATCCATTTAAATATTACCAAAAAAGAATCATATTATAATTTTGAAGCTTGGTGTAGATGGATTGTTTCCAAAGAGGTTTCACTGAGATCTGGCAAAAGGAGTGTCTGGTCACAGCTCTTAGGGTTTGGTCAACTCTTGAGAACTCTGGGGTGCATGCAATGTATGAGTTCCATTTCTAATCTGATAGAAACTTTCACAAGGGGATTCTGCACGAGAGGGAGCTGGGGTAAGAATCACCACACCTACAGTTCTAACAACCTGAAAATAGTCCTTAAGATTGCAAGTTTTATTTACCTAAACAATGTGTCCTGTTAGGTGATCATGTTAACAGTGTCAGGAGAAACTCAGATACTGTTCAGCTGCGTGGTGATACCACTTGTTTGTTTGCTGCTTCCCATTCTTACTAAAAGGTTTTGAGTAACACATGAATCAAATGCTATTAAAGAATCCATTACATATGTCATGTATCCCAATGACTCAATTGTATTATAGTACCCTTTCAAAATAACAAACTATTTATTAATGAACTTGGGGGAGAATTCCAAGGAAGAGTCTGTATGTGCTTATGAGAAACCAAGTGAACAAAATGCTGGCCTAGAGATTAACATTAAATTTTAACTCAACTTTCAATCATTTGTCACAAAGCCCAACATGAGCCTCTTCAATATCTTACATCTGCCTTTAGCTACTTGGATAACTGGAATTCTGTTGACTTCTGCGTTGACTGTGCCCTAGGAAGTTAGCTGAATGGGATAGACTCAGATTGGAAATCTCTTGAGGTTTTCATCTAACTTCAGCAAATATACATCTCTATTTTTTGTTACATCTACTATCAGGGAACAGCTTGTAACTGGTTGTTGTAATTTGGCTTTGTCTTTCTATTTGTGCAGTCTGATGTCAAGTGTGCGATATTTTGGAAAGAATGTATAGAACTTTTCCTGTTTTCCCAGTGTTCTGGGCCATCTCTCCAATACCTGTCCCTAGCTGGAATGGAACTGAATAAAGCCTGCTGTCTCCCCTTTCACCTGGCACTGCACTCTTCAGCACCTATTGTCTCCTCTGGGATTCCTACATGAATTGTAGGCTGTAGAGACATAAAATTATTTGTCTATGGCACTCATTTAATTCATTGCATCTTTGAAAGGGGAGTTTCTTGTGCTTGTCGGTTTTAGCTGAACTTGTTTTAATCATCAGAGAAACTTAATATGAAAATAAATTCAATTCTAATAAAGATGAGTTATGTTTTATATTGCAGAGTTGAAAGCATGGTTATAAAGGGGTAACATATGCAAAAGACAAATCTAAATTGAGTTAATAAGAGAAATCTGTCATAGCTGTTCTGCAGCCTCTAGGTTGGCTGGAGGCCTGGGAAGAAAACCTCATTTTCTCTAGGAATGCTTGAAAAAGATCATTCTCCAAGCTTTTCTCCCTTCCTTTCCAATGACTGGGAAACAGCTTTTATCTTCCCTGGTTCTTTTTGCATCTTGAATTCAACACTGTAAAAAAAGACTGCAAAGCAGCAATAGTTCCTTGTAAATCACATCTCAGAAGAGGTGTAAGCTACAAACATCTAAATTAACATACTTTGTGGTTTGTTTCAGCTGTTAATATCAATACAGTTGATATACTGATGATCAAAGGGACAAGATTCCTCCATCATACGCTCACAAACTTATGAAGGCAGGGTCACATTCACCATTCTCCCTGCTAAAGAAAAGTCTTTGCTAAACAAGATATTGTGACCAGAATGCTTTCTTTAAAATTATTTTTACTGTAAGTAGTCTTATCTTACCTGCTTATCTGTTCTTTCCAAGAGCTTTGAATTTTCATTGTACAGCAGGTATGGAAATCTATATTGAATTTTATGCACAGAGGTAAATCCAGCTAAAGATAGAGGAAAAACTGCTGGAATGTGAAAATGAATTGAATTCTATCTTCAAAGTTTCTTTTGCCTTAAAGATGTTTGAGTAACTTGCATTTGAAGACCTTGGAGTATATTACTTCAGGCTCAATAATTAATCTATCAATTGTTAATGCTCTTGCAGTAAATTTACTAGATAAACTCATCAAAGTTGGCCTTGCAATAACTGTTGAATAAATGCTTTGCATGATAATTCTTTTTCTCATTGATTTAATTTGTTTGAATTAAGATTTTTGGTTTTTTCCCCACAGTTTTGGTACCTTTATCATCTACACTTCAAATCTTTCAGCACAGGTTTTCATTATGGAAAAAGAAACTTGAGGAATGGTCTCCATTGTGATTATTTATGCATAGATGTGATTTTGATATATGAGAACCACAAAGGCTATATGAATCTAGAATAAATGTCTTTTTTAGAATATCCTGACTTTACACCCCTGGAATAACACCTCTTCAACATTAGGAATATACAAAAGAAAGCTAATTAAAAATGTGATAAATTTAAATTAGAGCGTTACTGTGAAATTTGACCATATTTTCCAGCGATCTGTGAGTTACGTGTTGGAGTCTTGAAAAATCTGTGGAATGTTTGTCTACAACTTACTTTTAATGATAAAATTATTATAGACTAAGAACTTCAACAATTTTTGTTGATTGCACTGATTTTAATTATGAATGACGTTTTTCAGGTCACATCGCGAAAGCTGCTGAGCATTTTGAAGCATTTTATCAGCTAACAGAGGGCTCATCATGGAAGGATGAGACAGGCCGCACTTATGCTTCACTGGCATGTCAGCATCTCTGGAGAATTTATACATTGCTAGCAGACAAAATGCTAGAAAATAAAGAACACCAAGAGGCCATCAAAACGCTAATAAAAGCTTTAAGGATGGCAAAAGAAGGTAGGTGGGAAATAATGCTTTCTCATACCTTCATTTGATGTGCAGGCCGTGATTTTCCCAAGAGTAAAGTAGAAAGTGTCAACAATTTGACTGGATGATTATTTCCTATGAAACTCAAAGACAAATGCTATCAATACACTCGCAGATCTCACTAAAGGAGAAATGCCTTCTTGTCGACAACAAAGAAACAAAGAAACTTTTAGGTTCCTCTCCAAAAAATCTGACAACATTGTGGGAACAATAATATCAAACTGTGAACAGTTTCATAATACATGATAATATAATGATATCAGAAAGTGAGGTCACTGTTGGAAGGGTGAGGTGATTTTGATTGGCTACTCACTGTTGATTTGGCAGTTTTTGACTGATATTATCTGCTGGAAAAGTTACCTTTTCACTCTACATAGTTACTTAATTCTTGAAAAAAAACATGTTTTTGTCATGAGCAAACAAAATTATCTATCTTAATATACATAAATACTTTTAAACCTTAAGTAAAAAATTACAGAATCGCAAAACAGCAGAGGTAGGAAGAGAAACCTCTGGAAATCATAAGGTTGTCCTGAGCAGGCAGTTCAGGGCTACATCCAGTCAGGTTTTGATATTTCCACAGGTGGAGCCTCCGTAACCACTCTGGAAAAGAATTGTTACCGTCACAATGAAGGTTTTTGTTTAAATACATATTAATCCAATGTTAATCAGCAGATCCATTAGGTTTTTTTAATTTAATAATGTATGCCGAGCCTTTAGTCTGTGACCCAGTCTTTGATTAATAGTTGGAATAGATAAATTGTCAAAAATGGCTAAAAATGAAAATATTTTCCAAATTTTAAAATTAGTTCTGTGATCAGTAACATTATAACTATATAGGTCATAATACAAGCTTGCAGTGTTTTCTATAGCTATTGTCTATAATACATGCTTAAATTACAGCTACAATTAAACTCCTTAATATTATCTGTAGTAAGTAGAAGGACTGGTGGTGAAATTCCCTATGGATGCCTTCTTATTACTAGTGAAAACTGCTGGATATTAGGTGATTGTCAAAATGGATCTGATGTCTTTCCAAAACTTATTTTGATCAAGTAGATACTCTGGTTACCTTATTTCAAATTTCAAATCAATCACTTTCACAGCTTCCCGAAGCAAATATCACATATCACTATGCACAATGTATGTGCTAAGTTTAAGCTTTAGGAACTTCTTTCTAAGGATTTCTTCACTCCATTCCAGACCCATACTGGCTAGTGGATGTTACCTGTAATGTCCATTTTGCCCTTCTGGACCATCATCTGTATTTATGTATTTTAGGAATTACGATTAGATATTACCCTCTTCAGACTGCCAAATCCTCTTAAGCAAGGAAGGAAGTTCTTTATGTCCCTAGGAACTTTTAACTTACTATTCTTCTGTGAAACTGTATTTCTGTGTTCTTTTCTCTTTTTATGCCTTTTAAGAGATATTGAATATTGGAAAAGACCATCAGGTTTTTGAGTTACAGGCTTTTAATAGTGGTAAGTAACCTATTAAGTGCTATAGATAGAGCACTGCTATGGTCACATCAATTATTATCATTCAGAGAGTTTCAGAACTAGGTATAGGCTTCTGTTTGTTTGGACAGAAAGAGTCTACAACTGTAAGCAGACAATCTCCCTTTTCATTGTAACTATATATATTTATGCATTTTACAAAATACCTTGATATGCATGTATTCTTCAGGTTGATTTTTCATCATTTATTGTGTTGGAGAAGATGGATATTGAGCAAGAGAAAAACTGGATTTTTGACTATTTTTAATGTAATTTCATCTACAGAGTTTTATATGGCTGCTTATGTTCCAGAGGGAAATTTTTGAATATAGTGTGATACTTTAGGAACTACAAAATTTTTTTCTATTAATTTTGGTATCAAATAGATTATTTCCTCTTGAGGGAGCCATGCAAAAGGACCGGCAGTGTTTCTTAGACCAGTATCAGTGAAATAAAGCCTGACATGGAAAGGTGGGATGCGCCTTAGCAATACCCCAGAATTTTCTAGAAGTACTGCTTGCAAGTATAAGTTACCCATTTTTTAGCTATTTTACACTATAGTAGCTAGTAAAACAGAGAGGGGAATAAGATGAAACTCATCAACTGGTGGTTCTCTCTTGTTGTTTCACTAAGATTCATCTTAGCAAAAGGTGTGGGTCAAGATACATTTTGTGTCTATATAGTAAGGTTTAGTACCTATCTGTAGCCACTTTTCTATTATATTGAGTATATAGAGAGAGACTACTATAATTTTCTAATTTGTGAAGACACTAGGCCCGTGATTAAACAGTTCATGACAAAGAACATTACACATGTTAATTTGATTGTACTTTATTACTGGAAGATATTTTCTCTGATTTTACTGAACTTCCTTGGTGAACTCCATAACCTCTATTTTCAATTACCGCTGTATGATTTTAGAAAGAGATATGTGGTGGGGGTAAGGAAGGGGAAAAATTTATTGCAGTATTTTAACATCTGTATGTTATTTAAGAACCTGCAAGGTCTGTCTGTACCAATTTCATTTTTTTCAGATCATGCTGGTAACTCTACTTTTAACCCTTCCTGTAGGAGGTGATATAAAGATGCATGGAGAAGCAGCCTATTGCTTAAGTCTAGCATATCATTTTTCTGGAGAACATGAGAGAGCATTAGCAGTAAGTTTGTTCTTTGCTTTAGCTTTCACAATGCCTTCCTCTGCCTCTTCAGCATGCTTGGCATTTGCAGAATGGAGAAAACTTGGAGAGACTTGGCTCATGAACCTTTCATAACTTTATCTAGTTCTGTAGGCAGGGATCCATGTGGCTCAAGCATCTGTGGTTCCAGTAAATTCCAGAACTGATGGAGTCCAGGTTTCCATGCTTGGATCTGTAGAAATAATATAAATTGACAGTTCGGGTTATATGTGACTAGCCTTCCTTTTCCTGTATATATGCAAATTTCAAACAGTCTCTATTTAGTTAGGTTTTTCTATAAAACACCAGTTTTGCAAATTAGTCTGGTACAGTATTTGTGAGCAACAATGAAAAATACATCAGTTCACACACTGAGATTGTTAGAACATCAGTAATTTAGAAGAAATATGAATTGCTTTTGAAAAGCTGTAATGCTGATGCAATTCCTGCTGTGGAGACTTGAGTTCAAACTCCGCTTCTGATGTTTCCCTTGAGCCTTAATAATTCTAAGACAGTGAGAGCTCTGCATGTGGAATTCTAGTCTAGAAGGAGGGTTTCCCTGCCTCCTCATAGGTCAGTGTGAGGGGAAAGATAAGCAGCAACTTGATTCTTTTGTGCCAGTCATCAGTCACAGTCCTCCATGATCCTCTTAAAAATGTTCTGTAGAAAATAAATTTGAATATTTTTTTTATGATTATTGCAATTAATCAGGTGGATAATTACTCTTTCTGTTTGTTCTTGTAACTTCAGAATGTCTTGGTGTTCTATTAATGAACTTGTTTTATAGAGGTTATTCATTGTGTTGTGATTTTTTTGTTTAGTTTGTTTTTCTCAGAAGCAGACCAACAGAAGTCCCAGAATAAATTCAGCATGTGTATCAATATTACTTGCTTGGCTCTTGCAGTAGGAGGTGTTTTAGATTTCTGTCTGATTTAATTTTTGTTGCACTTTTTTTAGAAGTTATTGACCACCTTCATACATTATTCTTCAATGCTGAAAGTTCTATCTTCTGCATAAATCAGTTGAATGCTGGAAAGGGGGAGCCTATTCTCAATGAATTCCAGTTAAACCTGTAGCTGAATGTAAAAATATTTCAAAACTAAAAAGCTCCGTATAATTTTATAAGACTGTATTTAATAGTTGCAACAGCAGCAAGAATATAATATTTGATCTCTTACAAGAAAACAGTATGATAGATTAGACTAGAATTTTTTGTACTTGTTTACCAGCAATTGTTTTTTGCCTGACAAGTATGCTAGCTTTCTTACCTGAGCAACTTTTCTCAGACTCTAAGAAAGTTAACTTTTTGTTTCACACATACTGTGTGAATTCTGATGAACAGCAAGCAAATGTGCTAAATAAAAAATCCTGCATCTTAATCTCTCCAGAATATAGAAAGGATCAAACTTGAAAGTGTAAAAAATATTAGTTGTCCTGGCATTATTTCCTCAGGATAAATTTTAACTACGTTTTGTAGCTATTCCTTTCCCTTCATTGTTTCTCCATGTCTCCTGTCAAAAAGTTACAGCAAGCATTTGGAAGTTGCATTTCATTTTGTTGCATGGAGAATTTTTTTTTAAGGAAGCTTCTGAAACTCTATTTTTTTTAATGTACTATTGCTCATTTTAAATATATAATCAATAGGTAGTACCTAATGTTTTTAGTCTTACCAAAATACCTGGCAGTTAAGGAAAGCAATGTGCAAGGGGAAGAAGGTCTCGGTAGAACAAAAACAAGTTATACATCATGTTAAGAATATAAAATGTTATTTTAACAGTAATGGAACTACAAACACTTTTCAGTGGTAATAATACAGTGACATTTTCTAATATAATGGCATTACCAATAATATTACATGAAAAGCTTTTTAAGTACTTTTGTTTAAAAAATACACTGTGTTCTATAGGATGAAGAAAAAAGGGTACAGTTTTAGCTCCTTTTGTCTTTTGCAGTGATCAGTATAGACAGCAGTAAAATATCAGTGGTTGACAGTACTGTTGAGCAGAAGTTGTCTTCACTCTCCAGTTGGAAATCATTGCCTAAAATTTCCCCTTCTGCTCTCAGTTTAATGGTCTCTGTATCCAAGGGGAGCTCAGATGCTTACGGAGATGAAATCATTGCCTCCTGTTCCCAGGGGCCCACTGGTTATCATTACCCATAACATGCAGACAATACTGCTAGGAGCCAGTTTGCCTCATGGTAATATGTAGTTCATCACCAGCTTCTGTAGCATGCTAAAGAGGTCTTGCCACACAGCTTGGGACTATTCGGTTGTAGACTCTGGGGTCTCAGCAGTTATTTCCCTGCTTTGCATCAGTTTTCATCTTCTTTATCCCTTTGTGCCGTGGTCCACCTCAGGCAGTCTCCTTCTAGGGGAATCTGAAAGGAGCAGCTGTTACAGGCACCATTTCCTCCAATTGTTGCCACTTGGTTCCTTTTGCTCTTTAGCTTCCCTCCCCCAACATGCACACACTGGATCATGCATATGGACTTGTTTCTCTTTCATTCATGTCTTCTAGCAGGGCAGAGAAGCATATGTTCAAAATAGTCATTATCTGATGCAATAATTAAAGACTGAAATGATTAAGTTGCAGCCTATAAAAAAATGCAATCACTTTGTATCAAATGGGCTGGTTTTGTTAGAGAAGGTTTTTTATTTGCTAGGGACTTAGTGTTTGACTTGATTTGATTTGGTGTATAATCTGTATAAATTAGTTTAATTTGATTTGATATATATGATTGATTTCAGTGGAGCTACTCAGATGTAAAAATATAAATGTGTGCAAGTTTAAAAGCCCAAGAACTAATTACATTCAATAGCAGTAGGATATGTTCATAATATTTTTCATATTGTCTGGTTTATAATCAAGCCTAATGGTTTTTCCACAAAATATTAATAGCTCACATTATATAGATTTCATCTTAAACATTATAGATTTTGTCATTGAGGGTTCTCCATCTAGGCTAATTATAAAATAAAAGTTACTGTTTACTTATTTTTTTCCTCAGACTCATTATACAAGCAAAGTTTTAAGTGAAACATTTGTGTGTCATTAGAAATCTTGCATAAGGTATTATAATCTAATGCTTGAAGGGGGCATTTTTTGTGGTTTTTTTCTTAGACTGAGCTTTCAAGAATTCTTTGAAGTGTAGGTATCATGGGTTTTTTCTCTTCCAATTAGAGTTGCATCCCAAATCACTACAAAAAATCCAGTCCTTGTTCCTCATCTAAGTGATAGGGGTTTTTCCAAGTGTTCCTTTATTTTGGATATTGAATTCTTTGCTTCTTCAGATATGTTACACATTTAAATAATAGAGGCAGTGTTCATGAGTACTGAGACTCGTGCCAAGCTAAATGTGATAATTTATGACATAATGCTGTCTTCATGAATTGTCAGAATTACGATACACAAGCCACAGGCATAAAATTATCAAGAAAATTTATGAACTTGCAAAGACATCTTCACATTCAAAATGACCCTGTTAAAGCAATCAGAGGTGATTAATGGCCATAAACTTAATTTCTGTAAAAGTCTGTGTCAAAACAACTGGGAATTTTGTCTTCTCACATGCAGCTGGGGAGAGTATGAGTGGGGTGCAGATATTCTGAATTTGGTATGTACAGTATATTTTATCTGATTATATCTATTATATCTCATTATATGGATTATGCCTATCTGGATGGATGGATGGATTTGGTAAATCAAGAAGGATCTTAGCAAATAAAAGAATTCCAAAATGCAGAGTGAATGTTATTCTCTTTTCTCCCAAATATTGAGTAAGGTTGTTGAGAAGAATGAGTGTGTGAAGTTAGAAGGCTGAACTTCAAATCAGTGGTGTCTGAATAGACCACTGAGTTTGCATTTAAGCTTTCCTTATTGTTACCACCAAAAAAAACCCTGGACTCACAATACACATCCAAAGATACTCTTTAAAGAAAATTATTTCAAACCTCCTCCTTTTAAATCAGCCATACTGTCCTTTATTCATCTCTAAGTGATATTTATCCATTAGTAATGAAATGTAACATTTTCAGCTTAGCAAATGGCATTACGTGCTTGGAAAAACATCTTAGCATACCAGTATAAAAAGTCTCATCATTGCTAGAGCCTCCACTTTCATTGATGTGATCTTTAAACTGTATTCGTATAGGAATTTAGTGGTTTTCATATCTGAGGAATAAAACCCTAAAACTTTGAGCCTTTGTAGAAGAATTCATCTTTACACTGACTATAGATTGTGTGCAGAGAAAAGAGTGGCCCAATTTTGAAACTGATTATATTTCATGTTCCTGAAGGGTCCCACTGCTGCTAGACCCTGATGAAGATGATACAAACAAAATTACGTGAGAATTAATATTGCAAGTGAACTTTGTCCTGACGAAATATACTGACTCTAATGCTGAGGGAATTAAGAAATGAAAAATTATTTGTGTTGACAATACTAAAGACCTAGAACCTCAGGAAAGAGATACATGTCTGATCATTCAACTAAATTTTTTGTTGTTAATTTAGCATTTAATCCTTAAAGTGAAGGACAGTTCTAACTTTTTTTTGACATGAAAGCTAACAGTCTCTTAGTGAAGGAAGGATTTCTTCTGTTGATCTAAAGTTAATAAGATTTTTCCTATCGTAACCAGGTTCTTGAAAACCTGAGACGAAAAGGGTTCTGATTATGCCTGAGATGCAGCAATGCTACTTTCCTTCAATACTTTTCCATACACTAAACAGTTTCGTACCTTGGTTTTATGGTGTCCACTACACTTGCCTTGAAACATGGTGTCATTTTCCTTTTCAGTCTGTGGTTCAGATTGCATTTTGCTTGGTTAATGGCAGCACAAAAACTCCCTTCAGTAAGTAATGTGGAATTTTTTCAAGATAAATGTGCCACAAGAACATCCTCTAATAAAACACTCTTAAATGCAGTCCTGCTGCAGAATTACAGTAGTCTAGTTACACAAAAACTGTAGAACGTGAGAAAAA